GATCGCTTGGTTACACCGCACGCATAGTTTTTTTGACCTTTTGATATAGAGTTTGTAACTTAGTAACGGATAAAGTGAAGCGACGGGTATCTCAGCGAACCGTTTTGAGAAAAGTGAGTCGATTGGTAGCCTTTCCCTTGTTTTTGATTTATAACCGTTGATATTTGAAACTTTATAACCATTGTATTTAGACTTTATAATCATTGTACTTAATTAGTGTGTTTTACTCTTTTTGATTTATACCTTTTATTATTAGTATTGTATTTAACCCATATGACGATGAGTGGCTGACGGTATCTTTGATTTATGAACGTGTTATGCCAAGAGGCATATCTCAGTTTGGGTGAAGGGATGTGTCATGAATTTGTTTTCGCGTATCTGTTAACCGACTTAATTAACTGATTATTAGCGAATTGCTGTGTTATGTCTGTCATCGTGTAGGCCTATTTGAAGTTTTGGACGGAACTTGGCTCAGTGGTTTAGAACTAATTACAAGATACCGTCGCTATTCTGACATCCGTAGTTATTAATGTAGTGAACGATTAATCAAAAGATATGACGTATTCAGTACTTAGTGTGATTGGCTTTATGATTGAAGGTTACGCCCTAGAGTCTTTTTACTGCATTGTAATTGGTCAGAGTTTTGAAAATGAATAAAGAGAGTTTGAGTTGGTCTTAAAGAGTACTCTACGATAGACGCAGTCTGAGAGTAGAGAGAGACGCAGTCCGAGAGAGTCCAGGGGCGAGCCTTGAGGCAGTCCAGTCTTGGGCGAGTCTTGGGTCAGCCTTGCGAGAGTCTTGGGGATTTTTTCCCCAGGGCGCTGTGTCTGATAGAGTGCTCGATTGACCGACTAAGACGAGAGCTGAAACGTATTTCGTTGTGTGTGCCTTATTTGACTGTAAAGTTAAAGTGACTTTCCCGATCCCGTACCTCAAGGGGACGAGATAGAGAGACGAGACGAGATTCCCCCCGACAGAGTGGAGAACCCCGGGGAGAAGATTTCCCCCCTGATAGAGACATAGCTTATTATATGAAATAAACGAATAAATAATTAAACGCCCATTATCATTGAAATTCACGTTCAAGTCCGCAGTGACACGCATGGCCACAGTCAGCTGGCACGCAAGTGATAATAAAATATATGCGATTATTTTACCGATATTTACTACATCTTGAATACGACTTGAAACTAAATTCATTTTTAAAAGTACCAGGATGTGTGACCTTTTAGAGGTCATGAAAGTGGCATATTCGTGATTATGGCCTGATTGATACCTTCGCTATATTGCCTGGGTGTTGGACATAATAACCGTTGACGTTGGTCGTTGTCGTCCATCAACGTCTTCGACGTTTTGCCATATTGCTTTCATATTCACACGGAGTGTGCCTTGAGATTTATTTATTTAATGTCATTATCCCTGATTATATTTTCATTCAAAATTATAAATTATGACATTACTGTAAAACAACACAAATATGATAATAAGTTGAATGCTAGCAAACCACCTAAAATGCAATTGGTCATGTAGTCCCTAACAAAGATCTGGTTTATGTGCCAAAATGCACTGTGTATACAGCTATTACTAGCGATAAACTAGTCGGAAGCAATAACATCAATACTCATAAATGTCGCCTGTCACATAAATATTTTTAAAATGACGTCAGTGTAACGCACACCATCACTCCATGCATGTACGTACACACTGATGATATCAGTAGACTTTGGAAATAGAGAGGAAACGAACGCTTCCGTTGTTCGGTTACAATATAAAAAACACACACAATCACCTGTTACATTTAAAACGCAGCGTAAATTTTCAACTGCGTAGCTTAGCAATCAGGAAGTGAAGCAACAATAACTGAACAAATTACGCAGAGCTTCTGTGGCGAGCTGAATTCTTCTCCATTATTTTTTATGTTAAGATACATTTTCATTGAAGCTCAGCTCATAGCAGTGTCGGTAAGATTAGCGAAATAAAAAGTATGGGACTAATATAGATTGTTAATTATCTGTGAATAGCACCAGAATTCATTGCTGTACTCCTTTCAGTTAATAACTACCAAGGTCTTACTTAACGCATGTACTGGACGCATATTAATATTTAATTTGGCTATTTTTTTTGATGATTACGTTATTATTATTATTAATGCATAATGTCACGTGATTTACGTTTGGCAAAGAACAATTTAAAATCCACCAAAACACCAATACCTCAATCATAGGAACGGATCATTGAGACTTGGATGTACTTCCTTACTCGATGTCGACCAATTTATTTCGATAATATTTAGAAACGGTAATTAATATGGTAATGTTACCGAAAAGGTATACATAATACAGGTAATTGTTTTTATCGCAATATTTTAATTGATTTAATATAAAAAAAATCATCAATATAAAATCAATATTTTAATGGCATGGGAATCACGTACTATATATGAATATCTAATAACATGTTTTTGTTTTTTATTCTCGCAAGCCTTAGATGCCACGCCCCTCAAGTATAGTAGCAGTATATATATTTGGACTGACACATACCACGTGTCAACCACTGAGAAGTCAGATTACATTGAATTCATCATTTTGATTTTTAATAGTATACATATAGAATATGTCTGATTAATTGGCGATCATATAGAAATATTAAAATAAAATGTAGGCATAGGACTGAATAGTACTTTTAAATTAATTATATGACGTGATAGGAGATTGATTTTGTCTGCCGAGACTCGCTCGATGACATTAAAAGCATATTGCGTCAGTCACATAACCCCGTCAGCTGTCGCCATCGTCGTCGACTGGGATCAGCCATTATTTTCTATAGGGGTGGCAAACCTTTAATTAACTTGACTTTCTTTATATTATATTATTATTTAAGATAGACTTTTAAAGGGAATTATATTCGTGTTACAAACATGTCGTATTTGTGTGTAATCTCATGAAAACGCAAATGGTCAATAAATAGCTCAAGATTTTTTCAAAACGTTAAAATAGTCATACATAGTGCTGTGTGCTATTTGTTACATTTACCGAAATCTTGCGAACAACGTTGAATGGCAATCTCCTTTCTATGCCAAATCGGCAACATATGTTGCCTGCAAATTATTATTTAGATTGCGCGTACTCAATGTCCAGCTAATTTGCATAATCCCACAGCTTGTGACAGCGGGGACTGGTTCGTGCGACGTTTGCTGATGATGACATCAAACTAGTTGGGGAACGCCATGGCACATATTCGCTATAAACGATCGACATGGTGTATGTTTTTAGGGACCTTGCTCGTTCTCTGGTGCTCGATTGGATTCTTCGCTCTGTTTAACTTTGTTTGGAGGTAAGAACAGGAAAAAAACATCGGATTGTTATTGTTGTTTAATTTGGGCGGTCAGTCGGCTGATACAAACACCCCCATTATGAATGCTAATGCTATGACTAACGCCATTAGTACTGTGCATCATACACATCATACAACATCACACTATGCAGTTCTGATTTTTCAACAAATCTATTAAATCAATACTCGTATGTCATTTTATCTAGTCACAGGAAATTACACCGTATTCACCGTATGTAAAATGTACTTCCCTCCGAATTATAACGGAATGACTTCCTTAAAGGGTGGTGGTCGTCGCGCCGCCTCGTTCCGATATTGGACCTATAGCGACGTATACAAAGCGTGTGAAATTCATTGTTTGTTTACACGAAATTCGAAAACGCGTTCCGCGACGACCATTACCCTTTAAAGTCTCCATCCTAATCTATGAGACTCCACGGGTTGATTCCATCCCACAATAATTTAATATGTCTCTCAAAATAACTATACATGTCCCGAAGAGGGGCAGGGTTAGGATTACTAAGTAGAGTTACAGGGGAGGGGGTCCTAGAGAACTCTTACCCCATCCCATAACAATTCAGTAGATTACGTGCATTTGCAAAGTGTTGTACCAATGGATGTAACATCACGTAAACTTAGGGAAATGAAAACTATCATTATATTTGTTTTGAACTTCAACGTACATTATGAAATACATTTACATCTCAGTGGTTTTCTGCTATATTCGGAGTATCCCAAGAGTCCTGATTTGCGTTTTTTGTATCTGCATATGTATAATTTTTTTGAGACGCTTGTTCATGTATTTACGTTGCCTATCTCTAAGCACCTAGAAAGGCGTTATTTTTAACGCCCTTCTCCATGCTGTGATACATCTTTTAACCACCGTCAGAAATTATAATTCCATGTACAATGCATGCCATATCATGTAATTCATCTAAGGCTTTTCTATTTCAGTTGTTTTCACCGCAATTGGTTCACACGTGTCAGTGATTTGAAAGGTTCACGCGGTGCTCACGCATACGTTGACCTTTGACACAGCTAGAATTCCATCTGTCATTCATAAAACAGAAAAAGCGTCCGAAAAATCCTATAAATGTGAAGATACATAAAAGTATATTATTGTCTACATTTCTGTATTTACGATATCAAACTCAACATTTTTCTGTTATTACTTCACAGAAATCCATCCTCTTACTCCAACGAGTTTGTACGTAACGAACTAGCGACCTCCTTCCGTGGAAAACAATACATATTGGAACAAATGCAAGAAGTACACGGCAAAGAAATGAAAACATTGATCGACAGGTACCCGTGGCTGTACAGAAAAAACTTTGTGCCAAACCACTACACGAAGCGAGAGTGGGTGGAGACTGCGCAGACGCCCGTCTCGGACGATAGTAATTTTACGATAGTGTTCGTGCATAATCAGAAGTCGGGAGGGACCAGCATTAAAGAATGTATTGATAAGATTACTACCAGAATGTCGTTTCCTTCTTATGTCGGAATATATGATGACATCAGGCCAAAAAGGACTATATCCGACATGATAGGGAGGGTAGAAACGATGGCCAAATCGAACCACCCTAAAATGCCCAAGTTCTTTGTGAGTGAAAATACGTTCGGTCTGTGCGATGTTTTGGATGATCGCCCTTGTTCATACTTCACCTTGATGAGGGATCCTTACGACAGAATCGTATCGTCCTATCAGTTCTGTAAATACCAGCTTGACGACCCGCTGTGTTGCGCCACGGACGCTAGGTTCTTGAGTATTAAAGAGTGGGCTTTACACCAGGGAAGTTATTTCTTCCGGCAGCTGCAATTTAACACCATAGATATTTGCTCACCGGAGGCTTACAGAGAACTGATCAGACCAAGAATGGATCGCGTGAACTACAAAGGTCGGGACGCCAATAAGCCGCCGTGTTGGTACAAACACAAGGTGTTATTAGAAAGCATGGATGAGGCTGACCAGAAAATAATTTTAGAGTACATTCTAGCGAATTTGGAAACATGGTTCAGCGTAGTCGGAGTCACGGAACATTTCGACGAATTTTTGAGGTTACTCGAACACACTTATGGTCTGCCGTTTCACAAGGAATGTTCGGGCCACTTGGCGATGAAAACTGAGTATTCGACGTGGTTGCAGGGGAGGATGAGAAGCGATTTGATGGCAGCCCGGAAGAAGGAGCTGATGGAAGATAAAGAGATACAGCGCGCATTGTACTATGATGTGAAAATTTACGAAAAACTTCAAGAAATATATCAAGCTCAAAAAGAACATTTAGAAAAACTTGGAGAGTGGAAATAAATTGTAAAAAGTGTCATTGAAATACCTTTTAAACAAATACTGTCATTTCCATAAACCCAGGGTCCACATTTTACGGTTCATGTATATAAGTAATTTGTTGTAAACTGCAGACGACTGTTATCCAGCCGATTTTCCAGTTCAATCACGATGACTGTGAATCTGACGTCACCGCGTGCTACCCGGCTTTCATTGGACATAAAAGCGTTTCGCGGAATAGAATGGTACCAATGAACATTCACGTTAGAACCACCAATCATAGGTTATCGTTTCAATTTCAATGAAACGTATTTATAGTTTATATGCGAGAGCTGTTTACAAAACGGGGATATATTCATGTGGAAATGATAATATTAAAACAACAGCAAACAATATCGATTCGGGAATAAACAGTTTGCGGCAATACCAAAAATGACGTGCTCTAAAATTCAATTCCCGAGACACTTGTAGCATCATAGCATGCACAAAGAAGTCTTCTTGATATATTGCCTGTAATCACTGTATTTGCATAAATACCGTCTATAAGATCAGTGAATTCGAAATGGGTCAAAAAATAATTGCTGACATATCACAATAAGCTAGTGAGTGCGGAATATTCGGGGTCGAGTTACATTTGAGCAGCGTCTTTGCACTTATTTAATTTTTTCTTCTCTTAGTTTGCACTGCATTGTTCTGATTCCAGCCTAGCTTTAATCAGAGCAATGATAATGGCCCACGTCGTACTCGTACTCAACAACGACCACATCTCTTAACAGTAAATATAAAATAAATTTAGAAAATAATTGATGGCATAAAAATGATGCGAGTGAGTTTGAATATGGATGAACCATTTATGTCTTCTGTTGGAATATTCGGGATACTGCGCAGGTTATGGGTCAATTTACTGATTTACCGAGTAGGGCTGCATTTGAGCAGCTACCATGCACATAATTCTCCTTCTATTTGTTTGGGCTGCATTGTTGTGATTCCAGTCCACACCACTCGTACTCAATTATGACCACATTTCGTAGCCAGTCCACAATCAACTGAAAAAAAATAGAGGTAGCTATTGGGGACAATACACAAGAATAATGAATTGAAGGTGATAGTTATTCTTTTGAAATTATTCAATAAAATAAAATACAAATGACGACGATACCCATCTACTGATTTCCATAGAACAATTGAAATCCACATATACTGTTAAGGACGGTTGGTCACCAATCCACGACAGGAGACACGCGGAAATGGTTTGTGTTTACTTGAAATGAAGATGACTATACTGGGATATATTTCTGAGATGTGTCACACATTCCAGCATATAAACAGTGTACTCCTTTTGTGCCCATGAATTACTGCTTCAACCAATCAATTTGTTGGTATTCGTACTTCCTATATTTTCCCCTAACAACATTGAGCTGTGCTATGTAAATAATACATTAACTGTAATTATTAAGTTTCTATGAATAGTAGATAAATAAATTTCCATAATTGATATATGATCAAAATGACTGATTTGTATGGGTTGTGTGTAATGGTGCGCATCATGGTAAGCGCAGGCCAATATTTATTTGTTTACACTCACAGTCAGCTGGCGCACACGTGATAATAAAATAAATGCGATATTTACTATATGGGGGCTTTGCCGGGGTATTTGAAACCGAAATTTTCATCTAACTGTAAGGCCGTCGCTGATTGGCTGCTGAGCGGGATTGAAATTTGTTGGTTTCAAATACCCATAGACGAAATACTCCAGGAAAGTGTTCCATGTTCTTCGTGTAATTAGGTGTTAGTATTTAAGGGATTTTTACACACAAAAACGACAAATTCGGTCGAATTTTGTTATCGGTTGGCTTAATATTACCTCAATGGATCGTATTTTTGTCCTGTTTTGTAGGAATCTGAAAAATGCGTTTCACAACTTGTCTCTTATTCAGTTTTATGCACAGTCACTTGGGGGCTGAAAATCAATAAATACTAATTTTCAAAAACAAATCATCCGCTATACGTATATAAATATACGTTTATAAATATATAAATATACGTTTATTTAT